CCTTGAACCAGCTTCCTTTTTTGAATTTCTTCTCTAAGTTCCTACAAAATTTCAATTTCTCAAGCAAAAAGTTCTCTCCTCCAACTCCACCTCCATTGCTACTCCCCATCTCTCCATTCTCCCATATCAAATATCAAAGTCTCCTTATTACTTGCTAGACTAAACAACATGTTAAATCTATCCTTCAATGAATAATTACCCACCCATTGGTCATACCAAAATAATGTATCATTACCTTCTCTAGCCATCCTTTCGATCATCATCCTAAACCATCCTTCTCTACCCATAACACTTTCATCAAGCTTCCATATATCCTTCCACCACCTAGAGCAATAAGTACCCCACTCACCACCCCTCTAGACATTCATTCTATCCACATCATACTTAGACCGCATAAAGCTACTCCATAAAGTTTCTTTATCCTCTAACAACCTTTATCTCCACTTTCCTAACAACGCCACATTAAAAAATCCTAAATTTTTTACCCCAAGACCCCCATCCCTTCTTTTCCTACACACTTTCTCCCACCCCATCCAAGCAATCCTAGTACTCTCTTCACTTCCCCCACAAAGAAACCTTTTCCAAATTAAAGATAAAATATTGGTTAAATACCCTTTTTGGTCCCTCTACTATAGGAAAAAGCCCCTTTTTGGTCCCTGTATCGAAAAAATTCCCTTTTGGATCCCTAAATTTTAAAATCCGACCCCTTTTTAGTCCCTCCGTTAATTTTTACTCACGTGACACATTAACTTAACTGGAACAGCTGATGTGGATATGCCAATGTGTAAAAAATGCTTATGTGGACTTAATGATACCCTTCATGTCACCCTCCCACTGCGGGAAAAGAAAAATAAAAAAAGTTAAATGCTAAATTTGATCCTTCAAATTTATAGGTTTGCACTTTTTTTGTCCTTACATTATTTTTTTTCACTTTTTTATCTTTTAACTCTAAAAATTACACAATTTTGGTTCCTCCGTCAATTAAGCATGACGTGGCAGTTAAATAATTCTATTTGGTATTTTCTTTTAATGTTTTTGATGATATAGCAATTATATATATTATAATTATATTATATAAATAAATAAAAATATCATGTAGATAAATATTTATATTTTAATTAAAAAATAAAATTACATTATTACCCTCACCTCCCAATCCCTCTTTTTCACCTTTTTTCTTTCTCTTTCTTTCTTTCTTACCCACTTCGACTAGGTTCCGATGAGCTGGGTAGCTGGGTTCAACGACACCCAGATCTGCTGGGTTCCGTCGAACCCAACCTTGCTAGTCGTCTGAACCCAGCCTTGCTGGGTTCGTCGAAGCCTAGCTACTAGGTTCTCACGACCAACAAGGCTGGGTTTCGACCAACCCAAGCTTGACGAAGCCAACAAGGCTGGGTTTCGACCAACCCAGCCATGCTGGTAGCGCGAACCCAGCCTTGCTGGTTTCGTTGAAACCCAGCATTCAACGCTAGGTTCATGTTTTTTCATTCTTCTTTCGATTTTCATTTTCGGTTCTTCATAAATTTGAGAGTTGATTTACAATTTGATTGTATTTTTGTTGGAATTGGATTAGAGTTTGATTGATATTGTTTATTGAAAGGTTAATTTGATTTGATGAGATCTATTGGCTTGACGAACTCAATGGCTTTAATGAAACCAGTAACTGGGTTCGATGATAGAGAACTCAAATTTTGCTCTAGAGCATTCTAGGGTTCATAGTTTTTTTGCAGGTTTTAGTGAGTTTGATTTGTGAGAATATGAACTCTCAACGTCATAGCATTTAACCTTTTATGAGTCGACCAGCAGTTGGGTGCGACGGAACCCAACTAATTTGGGTAAGAAAGAAAGAAAGAGAAAGAAAAAAGGGGAAGAAAAGGGATTAGGAGGTGAGGGTAATAATGTAATTTTATTTTTTTAATTAAAATATAAACATTTATCTGCGCGACATTTTTATTTATCTATATAATATAATTATAATATATATAATTGTTATGTCATCAAAAAAATTAAAAGAAAATGTCAAATGGAATTATTTAACTGTCACGTCATGCTTAACTGACGGAAAGATCAAAATTGTGCAATTTTTACAGTTAAAAGATAAAAAAAGTGAAAAAAATAATTTAAGGACCAAAAAAATGCAAACCTGTAAAGTTGAGGGATCAAATTTAGCATTTAACATTTTTTTTCTTTTCCCGTACTAGGAGGGTGACGTGGAGGGTATCATTAAGTCCACGTAAGCATCTTTTACATGTTGGCATATCCACGTTAGTTTTTCCAGTTAAGTTAATGTTCCACGTGAGCAAAAATTAACGGAGGGATTAAAAAGGGATCGGATTTTAAAATTTAGGGATCAAAAAGGGAATTTTTTCAGTACAAGGACCAAAAAGGGGCTTTTTCTTATAGTAGATGGACCAAAAAGGATATTTAACCTAAAATATTTAGAACCTTTTTGGGTGCTTTGAGGGTTGAGAAATAGTAGACTAGTATGCTCGAAAGGATAGTGTTTAGGAGAATAATCCGCCCACCGAAAGATAGTGAGTCACAGCTCTAAGTTGACAATTTACATCTGAAACACTCAATTATAGGAGTCCAAGTAGATGATTTCCTTGGATTAGCTCCTATAGGGACCCCAAGATACGTGAACGGTATCTTTCCCACCATGCAATTTAGCATATCAGCTAGAAGATTTAATTCCTCTTTTACCACATTGACTCCAATTAGAGAGCCTTTGAAAAAATTTACCTTCAAGCTTGAAACAAGCTCAAAGCTTCTAAAGATGCATTTGATTGCCCATACGTTCTCTTTGGATGACTCATAGTGAAGGATTGTATTATCTGCAAATTGTAGGTGTGTTATTTCCATTCCCCCATGACTAATAGACACCCCTTTAAAGATGCCTTCGTCAACCGCTTTTGTTATTAAACCATTAAGAGTCTCAGCCACTACAAGAAACAAGAAAGGAGCTAGAGGGTCACTTTGGTGGAGTCTTTTCGATATTGAAACGCTTCTATGGGGCTATCATTAACCAAAACTGAGACAAAAGCAGAGTAAA